TTTATTTTTGAACAGCTTCTCAATTCACTGCCTTTAGAAAGACACATTTAATAAACTTTGAGTTAGCCAACGGTTAGCAGGGTTATGGAACAGTGCTCATTGCTAAGAATAGCCATCCAGTAGCACTCTCAAGTTGATTAATTTCATTTGTTTCCCTATTACTTATTTAGGCTCTGGGGCTTGAAATTAGAAACATCAACCTCCTAATGTCCCCCTCCCCCCAATACTTCAACCTCATCATATCTATAGCCTTTGATCTGTAAATACATTTGTTGTAAGGATGCTCTTGAAGTTGCTAGTTTTCCTGTATTTCAGCTATTTTCAATGTTGATGCATTTCGCTACCTGCCCTTGGGTAATAGGGGTTTCCATTCATTGGAAAGTACGTAAAGGAAAACCAAAAGAGGCTAACAAAAGCCCCTTCTTAAGACTGTGACTGAAGAGAACTGGGGAATCCCTGTCTTAGAAATGAAGGTAGGTTTCTGGAGTGGAGAGAGGAAAAGCACCTTATGGTGAACCTGGATCCATTTCTCAAAGGCTTTAAAAGGTTGTAATTAGTTGCCACCGAATCACATGGCTGTGGGGTTTCACAGCTTTATTTCTGGTCTGCAGTCTATCAGTTAGAGAATAAGTTAGATCAGGACCAGGCCTATGTGTTTTCATTTGGTTCCTTCCTAAAACCACGTGGACATTGGCTTGAGGTCCATCTCCTTGTCATCAGGCTTAAAGAGTAGTGTTTGCCATGCTGACCTGGACCAGGGTTGATGGTGACAGGCTTGTGAGAATGCTGAGAAACATCAAGGACACCTTCCCTTCCCTGTGACAGTAAGTTGGAAGGACAAAGGGATGAATGAACCTGTGGCTATCCTTACCAGGTGGAAAAACTGATATAATAGATCCTTGGATTTATGAGCTCAGAAAGTAGGTGGGCATTCTTCAGATTGAGAAAGAGCAGTTTGTGTCATAATGTCCTTTCTCTTGTTCCAGCGTTTATATTCCAGATCTTTAACGTGATCCCTAGATGCGTTTTTAAGAGATTGTCAAGCATGCACGATTGGGTTTAGGGTTTCTCTCTCTCTCTCCCTCTTTTCTCTCTCTTCCCTTTTCACTCTCTTCCCTCCCTCCCCTACATTTTCTTTTCAGACCTTAACAATTGGGTTTCCCTTCAAAGCCTCACATTTTGAAATCTGCAAACTATCATGGTAAACTAAAGAACCCAACCAAACCATTAAACTGAAGTAGTTTGAAGACACAAACAATTAGGATAATACAGTTAGGAAGACTCATCATGTTAGGTGTGGGCTCTTGGAGAGTGACACCTGGCAGGTGTCAGTACAGGTGGCATCCAGAGTCTAGTTATCTGACAGGACTGTTATCTGTTCTAGTTATCCGGCCTTGAAGAGCCTAGAAGTACTGTGTTGGGGTGAGAGCTGGAGGTGCTTGTGTGATTTGTAGCTTGATCTCATCACTTCTGAAAATATTTCTTTTTAGTTAGTTTCAGAAACTTCCTTTTCTGCTTTTGATTATGCTGATTTGGCAAGTAAGAATAAAAAATACCGCTTATCTCCTAATCACAATTGTTACTAAATGAAGTATGTGGATAGAAGATGAAGGCTTTTACTTGCTATCATAATTTTGTGGCAGATCTGGGTCGAGGTTAATTCTAAGGGTTGCTGTTCTTCTGACTAATTGAAACAATCTATGCAATTGTTCAGTTTCTCACCTTTAGTCTCGTGACTGGATTCTTAGAGGATTATTACCTTTTGAAAAATAAAAACCAACATTTTTTGTTGATGAATGAGTAAGTCATTTCCTAGGTCTGGTATTTTCCCTTGCTATCCTTTCTTACTCTTCTTCTACTCTTTTTTTTTTGCAAGAGTAGACATCCACAGTCTTATAAACATATCAAGTTTCTGCTTCTTTGATTGTTTGGGCCATGCCAGCAATTTCTGTTTTCTTCTTCTGTCAGCATCTTCAGAAGAAATGTGTACACAAAGGCAAAATGGCTCTCAAAGTAGGCAACATCCTCATTTCAGTGCAGGTGCAGACATCAAATTGAAGGCCATTCTTTCTACCTGCTGCTGGTTCCATCAGTAGCCTAGAGATTAACCTCTTCTAAGGCTCTGAGCTCTTTTTGAGGTCAAGACTGCTACAACATTAAAGCTAGAACCCATTAGAAAATCACTTTCATCATCTCTTCTTTTTCCAAATCAGTGGTTCTTTTTTTTTTATTATCTGATCTCATAACCCTTTAATCTCCTTTCTAGCGAGAACAAGAAGATGTTTGTGTTTGTATCCAATGAGGTGAGCATCCTTGATAACAGTTTCAGAAGACACCAAAGATTTTAGAGAATGAATCAAGAGATAAATTTTCATCCTCTAGGTGGATGACTTAATACAGAAAGGGACCCTGTGGTTCTCATACACTGCCATAATTTTTGTTGTGGTTATACCAGGCTCAAATTTTCCGAAAGACACACAGCAGAAAGCCTTTTGTTGCATTATTTCTAAAGGCTTGAAGTTTTGAAGGGAAGAGATTTTGTTTTCCTCTCTGCCACACAATGGAGCTTTCAGAGAACCTCTTCTAAAAGGAATAGCTACAGCCTTTGTGTCGAAGGGTGTGTCTGCTGGCAGGGTCTGCTGATGCAGACAGACTGGCTGGTGATTAACAAAGGTCATTAGACTTTGGAATCTGGCAAGCCTCATCGGATGGTATGTCTACTGTGAGGGGAAGGACAGCTATGACTCAGGAAGTCAAGACATTCTGGAGGCGCCCCCAAATCACAGCCCCAAATCCTGGTGTTGTACAACAGTGTCTAGGTCAGGGTCTACATTGTTTCTGACCCAGTGCTCTGCTGGGAATTAATGAACCACTATATCAATCATGGAATTAAAAGAACCCTTGGAGATCTTTGAGGAGGAGCAAGGTGCTGCTTTTTTGGAAAGAAATGCAAACAGTTAATTCTTTGTTGGGGAGGAGAAGAGCTGAGGAAGAGGCCAGCCTGCCTGGGTAGCATTTACTTATGATTGTCAGCCAGCCTAGCAGAATTCAAGAGCAAGAAGCCATGTTGTGCACGGGAGAAGAAGCTCTGAGCTAAAATGGCTGCTCCTAAAGCTCAGAGGACTAGGGCAGCTTAGTGAGTCTTAGAGCTTCAGTGACGCAGGAGCTCCTATCTCCTGAAAGTGTGATAAACACATTCAGCAGAGCGGTGGCTTGTTTGGCTGAGATGAAAGGACTAAGCTGGGGGGGGGGGGGGGGGGGGAGATGGGAAGTACACACTGGATGATCTGCTCTTTTTTTTTTTTTTCCTGTGAAGTGTTCTAAATGCAGGAGTCGTCTGCACCATGGAAAAATTTGTTTTCAGGTCTAATGGACTGTGCGCAAGGAGAAGTGGGGTGGGGCCTTGGTGACTGCTGTAATTTGATCCAGAGCTGATAGCAACCTCTTCCACACAATTTGGGTTGGTGCTTCGACCTGAAAGCTTGTGGATCTGGAATATTGAGACTTCGTTAGCTGAAAAAGAAAAAACAAAACAAAACAAAAGAGTCTGGTGCACAGTTCAGTGTTTATTGAGAAAAATAAATAAAAGGATAAATTACTGGGTGAAAGAAGAGGAGGTAAATATCTGTGTCTCACTCTGCAAGCTCAGGCTGTTCAGAGCTAGACGTGCCAGAAGTTATTTTAGCAGGCAACCAGGAGGAGCATTCTTTCATAGAAAATTGTCATGCCCAGGGCTCCTTGCATGACATTGAATGAGTATTACTGGCCTTTGTTCCCCTGCAGAAATCATTTATTTTTCATTTAAAAAAAAAGGCACAGAAAATTGTATCATAAAATAGATCTGGCTCCAGCTTTAGTTCTTGGACATCTGGTTCTAGATTATAATGACTCAGTAGAGTTTGTGGTGAACTTAATGAAGTAACTCACTCATTAATGTAATAACTGGGTATCTCGATGTAGGATGTATATTTAGATTGGAAGGATGACACCTTTCTAATATGTATTTTGATTTCTTAATGGTGGGACTCTCCACTGAGTTAGTCTGAATCTTTCTATGTATTTCATTCACAAAGTGAACCACCAAATGAAAGAAAGCTGGGCATATTACGCTTTATTCTATACCAGATCCACAGCTTCTTGCATGTATATAATTCCTGTCTATAGCGAAGAAAAGAAAAAGACAATGTTACAACTTAGAGTCACTTCTTCAACATGTCCAGCTTTTGTTGTCTTACTGTAAATTGAGTGCCAAGGTGCAATGTTAAACTAGAATCTGGATTGTCATCCAAAGTTGTTTGAAAACCTCATGAGAAATATTTTATGACCTAATTAGATGGAAGAGGCTGTTAGGTTTTAATTGGTAGGTAGTAAATGAGCAAATAATCATTTAGCTGATGTGAAAGAAAAAGGGAACAACTAGATTATTTGGGGAAGGAAAGAGGTGAACCCCAATATCATCAAGACATTAAATTAGTAAAAGTGATAAACTCTTTAATGCCACTCCCGAGATTTGATCCTGTTCTATCACTTGGTGCTAAAATGCCAATATAATAGTAGTATTAAACTGACTAATCAAGATTAAGATTTGCCTTTTTCCCCCCCTGAATCGAGGTCATCTTTCCTTCTAGTTCAAAAGAAAACGAATCCAAGGCAGGACTAAAGTCAATATTAAGTTACCAAGAAATTTGAATTTAGTGGAGAAGCTCAGAAACTGTTAAAACTTTTGAAGTATTAAGGTTTCTTGAACAAACGACATTTGAAGATATATCAAGCCAGAAAACATTTATCTGGATTTTCTTTCCTTCTTTGAAGTGATGAAGTCAAGGACATCTTCTCTATTATGTCTGCTTGCCTTTCTTTGGCCAATGCTCCAGTTGGCAAAGCCAATAGGAGCAATGTACTGGTAACTGGAGTTTTTTCCATTAGTCCCTGGGTGGCCTCCTCGGCTTGAGTTATGTGCCGAGCACATTCTTTACGCTTTGCTCTGACTTGTGCCTCAGGTTCCTAATGTGAGAGGGTAGCCCCAGATCATGGAGGTTCTTCAGTGTGATGGCTGTGACTTCAGAGCCCCATCTTACGAAGATCTCAAGGCACACATCCAGGATGTCCACACCGCATTCCTGCAGCCCACTGATGTCGCGGAGGACAATGAAAATGAGCCCCGATCCGGGTCCATGAATGCTGGGAATCAGACAGAAGTGGAATTTTCTTCAGTAAAGGATGAATTTGCCATTGCGGAGGATTTATCAGGTAAACCTGTACTACTAACTCATATATTTTTATTGCACTCGTTTTCTTTTCTTAGCCTGTAGCCATGGTTCATAGTGTGTGTGGCTTTGACATTTCTTGGTCTTTGCAAGTCATTGGACATTGCTTTTTCTCCACTTAAGTATCCATATCCTAAATTATTCTCCTTCCAGCTTCTGTATATCTTCTGCTTTTAACTGTTTTTCTTCTTAGGGGATTGAAGGCAGGCTTGTGCTTGCTAGGCAAGAACTCTACTACTTGAACTACACTCCTACTTTTAATTTTGAAAACAAAGTTTCTCTTGGAAAGTTGTAAATATTACAGTTTATAAAAGTTGTCTTCTGATAGCTGTGTTAAAGTATTTTGTATCTAAAGTTAAGTACTTTATTTTTCATCTGTCACAAGGTATAATACATGTATGTTCATCAATGCTCTGTGAATACTCTTGAAGAATATTATTGAAATGGTACTGATTTGCCTGATGGATTTTTTTTTTTTTGAGGTGGGGGAGAGGGAGGAGGATAGTGGGACTCAGGCCCTTGAACTTGGTAGGCAGGCATTCTGCCACTTGAGCCACCTCTCTAGCCCCTTTTTGAATTGATTACTTTTGAGGTAAAGTTTCATTTGATTCCCTGGGCTGGCCTAGGCTGGAATCCTACTGCTAAGCTTCGCCATGTTGCTGGGCTGGCAGGCATATGTTACCAGCCATTGTGTTTCCCCTATAGCTGGAATGACAGGTATGCATCACCACCTCTTTCCACTGGTTGAAGATGAGTCTCGTGTTTGCCCTTATATGGGCTGACCTCACATTTGTATCCCATGATCTCTACTTCCCAAGCAGCTATGGTTATAGACTTGAGCCACCACGCCCAGCCTAAACTTCTTAATTCCCTTTTGCTTTACTTTTCTCATCATTTTTTTTTTTAATACATTGTCTTTAGGTCAAAATGCAACTGCATTGGGGACCGGAAGTTACTATGGCCACAGTCCAGGATATTATGGTCAGCATATTTCCCCTAATCCCAAACCAACAAACAAGTTTTTTCAATGCAAGTTCTGCGTACGCTACTTCAGGTCAAAAAATCTCCTCATAGAACACACTAGGAAGGTCCATGGAGCTCAAGCTGAAGGGAGTTCGGCTGGACCACCTGTCCCCGGATCCTTAAATTATAATATTATGATGCACGAGGGATTTGGAAAGGTCTTCTCTTGCCAGTTTTGCACATACAAGTCGCCAAGGAGGGCAAGAATCTTGAAGCATCAGAAGATGTATCACAAAAACAGTCTAAAGGAGACCACGGCTCCTCCACCTGATCCTGACCCCCTGCCAGATCCTGTGGTCCCGCCTTTGTCCCTGCAGGACCCCTGCAAGGAACTCCCAGCAGAGGTTGTAGAGCGTAGCATCTTAGAATCCATGGTCAAACCTTTGACGAAGTCTCGAGGCAACTTCTGCTGTGAGTGGTGCAGCTACCAGACGCCCCGGCGAGAACGCTGGTGTGACCACATGATGAAGAAACACCGTAGTATGGTCAAAATCCTTTCCAGTCTGAGGCAGCAGCAGGAAGGGACTAATCTACCTGATGTGCAGAAGAATCCTCCAAGCCCCACATCCAACTCCAGCTACCTATCCATGAATGCTGCAAGCCGGGAGATACCCAGCACTAACGTATCTAACTACAGGGGCTCCATCGGCAACTCCATCATGAGACCCAATTCTTCCACTTCCAAGTATTCGCCCATGTCTTACCCTCAGATGAAGCCGAAGTCACCTCATAATTCTGGTCTCATTAACTTAGCAGAGAGATCGCGGTATGGAATGACTGACATGACCAATTCTTCTACTGACCTGGAAACTAACAGCATCCTAAATGACTCTAGTTCTGATGAAGAATTAAATGAAATAGACAGTGAGAACGGTTTGAGTGTGATGGATCACCAGACATCAGGCCTGTCGGCTGAGCAGCTGATGAGCTCAGATGGCAACAAATTATTGGAGACCAAGGGGATTCCATTTAGAAGGTTCATGAATAGATTCCAGTGCCCCTTTTGTCCTTTCCTGACCATGCACCGGCGTAGCATCTCCCGTCACATAGAAAACATCCACTTGTCTGGGAAGACCGCTGTCTACAAATGTGACGAGTGTCCGTTTACTTGCAAGAGTTCATTAAAACTTGGGGCTCATAAACAGTGTCACACGGGTACAACGTCAGATTGGGATGCTGTGAATTCCCAGAGTGAATGCATTTCTTCCTCACTGAACGAAGGCGTGGTGTCTTTCGAGAGCTCGAGCATCAATGGTAGAAAGTCAGGGGTCCTGTTGGACCCTTTGCAGCAACAGCAGCCGCCACAGCCACCACCACCACTACCACCACCACCACCACCACCATCACAGCCACTACAACAGTCACAACCACCACAGCTACAGCCACCACATCAGATGCCCCCTCAGCCACAGCCACCACCTACCCAGCAGCCGCAGCCCCCCACGCCAGCCCCGCCTCTGCACCCTTATAAGTGCACTATGTGTAGTTACTCCACCACCACTCTGAAAGGGCTAAGAGTCCATCAGCAGCACAAGCATTCATTCTGTGACAACTTGCCAAAATTCGAGGGGCAGCCCTCAAGCCTACCACTGGAAAACGAGACAGACAGCCTCCCCTCTTCCAGCAACACTGTGAAGAAAAGTCAGACCTCAATTCTTGGGTTGTCCTCCAAGAACAATTTTGTAGCTAAAGCCTCTAGGAAGCTCGCTAATGACTTCCCGCTTGATTTATCCCCTGTGAAGAAGAGAACTAGAATTGACGAGATAGCAAGCAACCTGCAGAGCAAGATCAACCAAACCAAACAGCAAGAAGATGCGGTGATCAACGTTGAGGATGACGAGGAGGAAGAGGAAGACAATGAAGTGGAGATAGAGGTCGAGCTGGACAGGGAAGAAGAGCCCACAGAAGCCATCCTGGAGGTCCCCACTGCTTTTTCAGCCCAACAGATTTGGGCCAGAGATACCACTGAGCCCCAGAAAGAGCCCAACTTCCGAACTATCGCCCACGATTACAATGCCACCAATGGGGCTGAGATTGAGCTGACCCTTTCTGAAGATGAAGAAGATTACTATGGCTCCTCAACAAACATGAAAGACCATCAAGTCTCCAATACTGCTTTGCTAAGTACCCCAACTCCTATCTATGGAACTGAGCACAGTAATGAAAATACAGACTTTGGTGACTCTGGAAGACTGTACTATTGTAAACACTGTGATTTTAACAACAAATCTGCCCGGAGTGTTAGCACCCACTACCAGCGAATGCACCCATACATTAAATTCAGCTTTAGGTACATCTTGGACCCAAATGATCACAGTGCTGTGTACAGGTGCCTGGAATGCTACATCGATTACACCAACTTTGAAGATCTCCAGCAGCATTATGGGGAACACCACCCCGAAGCCATGAATGTACTCAACTTTGATCATTCGGATCTGATCTACCGGTGTCGGTTTTGTTCCTACACGAGCCCGAATGTTAGAAGCCTGATGCCGCATTACCAAAGAATGCATCCCACAGTGAAGATCAACAACGCCATGATATTTTCTAGCTATGTGGTGGAGCAGCAGGAAGGGCTGAACACAGAATCTCAGACCTTGAGGGAGATTCTGAATTCGGCTCCCAAGAACATGGCGACGTCCACTCCTGTGGCTCGTGGTGGTGGTGGTGGTTTGCCCTCTCCGTTTAGTAAAAACACACCTTCAAAGACTTTTACTCCAGAATGTGAAAACCAGAAGGACCCTGCGGTCAACACCGTTGTCGTGTATGATTGTGATGTGTGCTCATTTGCCAGTCCCAACATGCATTCTGTCTTGGTTCATTATCAGAAGAAACACCCTGAAGAAAAGGCCTCCTACTTTAGGATCCAGAAAACCATGCGCATGGTGTCTGTGGACAGGGGCTCTGCCCTTTCCCAATTATCATTTGAGGTGGGTGCTCCAATGTCTCCCAAAATGTCCAACATGGGTTCCCCACCCCCCCCACAGCCCCCGCCACCAGACCTCAGTATTGAGCTTTACTACTGCAAACACTGTTCCTACAGCAATCGGTCAGTTGTGGGAGTGCTTGTTCACTACCAGAAAAGACACCCAGAAATAAAGGTCACTGCCAAATATATCAGACAGGCTCCTCCCACAGCTGCAATGATGAGAGGGGTCGAAGGGCCCCAAGACTCCCTTCGGCCTCCTGTCTCCATGCAGCCGCTGAACCGGAGCAGTGCGGAGAGAGATGGCCCTCCTGTGGAGAATGAGATGTTCTTTTGCCAGCATTGTGATTACGGGAACCGGACGGTCAAAGGTGTCCTCATTCATTATCAGAAGAAGCACCGAGACTTCAAGGCCAACGCAGATGTGATCCGCCAGCACACAGCCACCATCCGAAGCCTCTGCGACCGGAACCAGAAGAACTCGGCCAGTTGTGTGCTGCTTTCCCCTTCTGGTATAGAGCGAGATAAGACGAAGCTCCGAGCACTCAAGTGTAGGCAGTGTTCTTATACCTCCCCCTATTTCTATGCACTGAGGAAGCATATCAAGAAAGACCACCCTGCCCTGAAGGCCACGGTCACGTCCATCATGCGATGGGCGTTTCTAGATGGCTTGATAGAAGCTGGCTACCACTGCGAGTGGTGCATTTACTCTCACACGGAGCCCAATGGGCTGCTCCTGCACTACCAAAGGAGGCATCCAGAGCATTATGTAGATTATACTTATATGGCGACCAAACTCTGGGCTGGGCCAGACCCATCGTCTCCCTCTCTCGCCATGCCAGCTGAAGCCAAAATGTACAGATGTAGGGACTGTGTTTTTGAAGCTGTCTCTATCTGGGACATCACCAGTCATTATCAAGCCTTTCACCCCTGGGCCATGAATGGTGATGAGTCCGTGCTGCTGGATATTATCAAGGAGAAAGATGTGGTTGAGAAACCCATCCTTCCGTCCGAAGACTTGATAGGTCCTGTGAATTGTGAAAACAGTCTCCCCACCCCACTCCCCGAGCAGGAAGCTGAATGCCCAGAGGATGCAAGACTTTCCCCAGAGAAAACCTTGCATCTGGCTTCAGCAAACCCTGCCATCTCCTCTACCCCGTACCAGTGCACGGTGTGCCAGTCCGAGTATAACAACCTGCACGGGCTCCTCACGCATTATGGGAAGAAGCACCCTGGCATGAAAGTGAAGGCTGCCGACTTTGCCCAGGACATCGACATCAACCCCGGTGCGGTCTACAAATGCAGGCATTGTCCATACATCAACACCCGCATCCACGGCGTGCTGACCCATTATCAGAAGCGACACCCGGCCATCAAGGTGACCGCTGAGGACTTTGTGCACGACGTGGAGCAGTCGACTGACCTGTCCCAGAATGACGTGGAAGAGACGAGCAGGATTTTCAAACAGGGGTACGGCGCCTACCGGTGTAAGCTGTGCCCCTACACGCATGGCACCTTGGAGAAACTCAAGATCCATTACGAGAAGTACCACAACCAGCCAGAATTTGATGTCTTTTCCCCATCGCCCCCAAAGCTGCCAGTTTCCCTTGAGCCAGAGATAACCACTGAAGTGAGCCCCTCCCAAATCTCCATCACCGAGGAGGAGGTGGGAGAAGAGTCCATGTCCACTTCTCACTTCTCTACCTCGCACCTGGTCTCCCACACTGTGTTCCGGTGCCAGCTCTGCAAGTACTTCTGCTCCACCAGGAAGGGCATCGCCAGGCATTACCGGATCAAGCACAACAATGTCCGTGCCCAGCCAGAGGGCAAGAACAACCTCTTCAAGTGTGCCCTGTGTGCCTACACCAACCCTATCCGTAAAGGGCTGGCTGCCCACTACCAGAAGCGCCACGACATCGATGCCTACTACACCCACTGCCTGGCAGCCTCCCGGACCATCAGTGACAAGCCCAACAAGGTGATCATCCCATCGCCACCCAAAGATGACTCCCCACAGCTGAGCGAGGAACTCCGGCGGGCAGTGGAGAAGAAAAAGTGCTCCTTGTGCTCCTTCCAGTCGTTCAGCAAGAAGGGCATCGTGTCCCATTATATGAAGCGTCATCCGGGAGTGTTCCCAAAGAAGCAGCATGCCAGCAAGTTGGGAGGCTACTTCACAGCTGTGTATGCGGACGAACACGAGAAGCCCCCGCTGATGGAAGAGGAGGAGAGAGGCAGCTTTGAGAAAGCCGAGGTGGAGGGCGAAGCTCAGGAAATCGAGTGGCTCCCGTTTCGCTGTATCAAATGCTTCAAGCTGTCCTTCAGCACGGCCGAGCTGCTGTGCATGCATTACACCGATCACCACAGCCGGGACCTGAAGAGGGACTTCGTCATTCTAAGCAATGCCCCCTGCCTGCAGAATGCTACCTACCAGTGTAAGCACTGTGATAGCAAATTGCAAAGCATAGCAGAGCTGACCTCACATTTGAACATTCACAATGAGGAATTCCAGAAGCGTGCCAAACGCCAGGAGAGGAGGAAACAGCTTTTGAGCAAGCAGAAATATGCAGATGGTGCTTTTGCAGATTTCAAACAAGAGAGGGTAAGGATATGTTTTGATTTCCCTTCCCCCAGGAGGCCTCTCATCACTGGTGCCCACATGCACGTCTCCGTTGCCAGCCAAACTGCTGCAGGCTTTGCTTGCCAGAGAGCTCAATAAGTCAATTAAACATTTCGAGCTTGATTATCTCCCCATTCTATGCTCACCCCTCTTCAAGGTTCTGTTTCCCTCCTTCTCTCCCTCTGACTCCTCCGATGGCTCCCCAGGGGAGGTTCAGGGTGGTTTCTATGTTATGTCTCTCTGCCAAGTAGCCCAGTCTGAAGTCTAGTTATACAACAACGTTGTTCGCTCTCTTCTAAGGCAGTTGTGGGGCTGTCTCTTGGTATCCTTTAATACTTCTCAGCCATGTCCTGGTCTTCAGTGCTTGCTTCAGGAACCTAACACCTCATGGAGTAGATGGTTATTTTAACCAAGAAGTTCATTCATGGCGCAGTCAGCTAATGCAACGTGTCACCCGCGTAGTTGAAAACTGGTTGGAAAACCAGATAACCTTAGTTGGCAGTGACGATGAGCTTCTGCACAGAGATCTTCTCTCCTCACAAGCCGTAACATATTTGGGTTCCAGAGACCGGTGTCTGGTAGGCAGTGTGCCATGACTGATGAAGTTTGGTAATAGGAAAAAAAAAAATACACACCTGTATCCCCCTTGGTGTTTCACCTGCTAATCTGCTTTAAAAACCACATATACCAGTAAAGAATATATGCCTGCCATTGCGGGAGGGCTTGGAGTATTGATGGCTACCACTGTATTTTACCAGCCTTTTGGTCATTTAGAAGAGGTGCCAAAGATCAAGGAGAGGAAAGTGGTGGGCTACAAGTGTAAATTCTGTGTGGAAGTGCACCCAACGCTCCGAGCCATCTGCAATCACCTACGGAAGCACGTCCAGTATGGCAGCGTCCCGGCCGTGAAGGTGAGATGGGGAAGGTCCAGATGCACCTTGTCCTGTGTGTGAGTGACTCCAGTTACTTATTAATCCATGGCTTAAAGAAGCTCAGGAGACAGCATCCTGGGATGTGGACATCCCTAAATTATGCTTGGATTGCTTTGGTTTGTTTTGATTTCTTTGCAGGTCGGACCTTCCTCGTCATGGTGTTCCAGAAAAGCTTGGGTTTTGATCTGGTTTTCTTCCGAGGAGCTAGTTGGGCGAACTGAGCTGTTGGATTCTAGGGTGGAAGAGGCTTGGTGATGTCCTCGTATTCTGTGCTGAGTGCCTTTAGATCTTTCCTCTCCCAAGTTGCCAGAGCTCTTGAGCGGAGCCCGGTGGACTCTGTTCCCATCATTTGCTCCCCCCACTGCCTGCCTCTTACTTGTCAATTTCTGGCTGAGGACACAGAGCTCTAGAGACTGGTTTCTGCTTTTCATTCTGGGTCTGCTGGGGAGTACAACGGATAGTAATTAAACCTCAATGGAAAAGGCTTCAAGTCACACTTGACCTCGGGAGCCCTTTGACCTGTCTTGTCTGCTCCCCTCCCTCTTCCTATTGAATGCTGCCCAGTATCTTCCCTCTCCACCCCCACCTGGATGAGGCAGCGTATTTTGAACATCATCATCTAAATAGGAATGACTTTCTACGCCCGAGTCTACCTCCCAGAATATTGCTAAGCACCTAACCATTTCTGATCACAGAAGTGAATTCTGTGGGAGGAAGAGTGTATTACCTTCAGATTCACAGACATTGTTTCATGTCCCAGACAAGAACAACCTGTGGACCAGCTATGTTGTCCTTTCTGTCTGGATACTTGAGTCTTTTGTCTTCTTTCCTTCCTTCCTTCCTTCCTTCCTTCCTTCCTTCCTTCCTTCCTTCCTTTCTTCCTTCCTTTCTTCCTTTCTTTCCCATTTTCCCATTTGCCCTCTTGATATTACCTTATGATATCAAGTTTGGCTAATTTTGTCTCAAAGTAAAACCTCTCCTTTGAACACTGAAGCTTCCGTCTTTGTGCAGAACCGTGACAGCCCAGGGACAGCAGCAGCGAGTAGCTTCTTCTGCAAGCCACTGCTGTGTGTTGCGGGCTTGATTCCTGAAATCCAGTAATCAAAGGAGTGAAATCCATAAATGTCCCATCCTTCATTTTTTGCTCCTTAGTTATTTGGCAGCAGCCTTCAGTTAAGAGGTGAATGCCACATCTCCAGAGCCGCAAGTAGACAGTACTCTGTTTCCAAGTGATGGCTCAAGACTGTTCAATGGCCACTTTACCCTGCCTTTTTACTTTCTATCTTTTCCTTCTCCCTGCTTCTTCCCCCACCCCCACTTTTCTTTCTTCTCTCCCTGCTCTGAGCCATAACCCTAACACATCTTTATTTTAGTTTAGATAAAATCACCATTTGAATTTTCTTTTTTAAGATGAGGAGTCAGCGAACTGGCTTCAGGCTTGGAGAGTCTCCATCACATTTCCCAGGCAATAGCAACCTAGGACCAGATGATGTTGCCCTAAGTCCCCACCGTAGCATGAAAAATGACAGTCAGGCTTGCCCTCCCTCTAGGGGGAGCCGGAGAGGCAGGGGAGGACGCATTACAGAAAATGCTGATGCTCTTGGGAGAAGGAAGGGAGAAGATGAACGCTGTGATGATGGATATTTATTTTGTTGGTGGGGCATGTGTGTGTGTGTGGTTCTCTTAGCAGGAGGCTGAAGACCCTTCCCATTTGTTCCTGGATGGATTGGAAGCAGCCAAAGATGCCAGTGGCGCCCTGGTGGGCCGGGTGGATGGTGGACACTGCTTGCTTGATGGAATGTTGGAGGATGAAACCCGGCCGGGGGGATACCATTGCAGTCAATGTGACAGAGTCCTGATGTCCATGCAGGGGCTGCGTTCTCATGAGAGGAGCCATCTGGCCCTGGCCATGTTTACCCGAGAGGACAAGTACAGCTGCCAGTATTGTTCCTTTGTTTCTGCTTTCAGGCACAAGTAAGTGTTACCAGGGGTAACGGGGAATGGGCGGGGTTGTCCCTGGGAACTACTGAGAGATGTCTTGGTAGTTAAGAGATAGAAGGAGAATCTTAGGTGAGGAAGAAGGGCTCCATTCATGGTTCATTCTTGCTGCTATATCATCTTGAGCCTCAGCCATTTTATCTGTAAGATCGGCCTAAGTAGTGATCGGCAAATGTGGGCATTTCAAAAACGGGAATTGAAAGATGGCTCTGATGTGCCAAAGAGAAGATGCGGATACTAAGAACAAATGAATTTGAGGTAGATCTTCCAGACTTTCAGCCCAAACTTAACCATCATTCAAAGCAATAAAGTTCCATTTCAATATAATGACTGCATCGCAGTGTATGATCTATAAAAATTGAACTTGGTAACTTGAGGATTGGGATGGGAGGGGGAAAGGTGGGAGAGAACAATGAAAATGCAACATTGATCAAAAATCAGCGCACATATTTAATATTTATACAACAACAAAACAAGTTCCATTTGAAAAATGAGTTCTTAACAAAATTCAGACTGCTACCCTATGTGACTAAAGAGTTATTGCTTGAGATATTTTTTTTCTTTAAGTACCTTTAAAAGGTAAAAAAGAAAAAAGAAGAAGAAAGTTATAGATGATAAAGAGTTGTTAGAGATCCAGGGGGGTTGAGAAGTATGAATTTCCCATTACTCACCACAGTATTAAAAGCATAAATTTAGGTCTGGGAAGGTGGCTCAGTGGTAGAGTGCTTGCCTGTATGCTTGAGGCCCTGGGTTTGATTCCTCAGCACCACATAAGCAAAAAGAAAAAAGCCGAAAGTGGCGCTGTGGCTCAAGTGGTAGAGCGCTAGCCTTGAGCTGAAGAGCTGAGGGACAGCGCCCAGGCCCAGAGTTCAGGCCCCACAACCGGACCCCCCCCCCCCAAAAAAAAGCATAAATTTAGGGTAGATATGAAAGGCCATAAGGAGTGATGAAAAGAGAAGAGGATCCTAAGAAGATACAACTTTTCATTGTATAAAAGAGATTAATACCAATAATGTATTCCACAGTCTTTGAAGGAGTTGATTATAATACCAGCTTGCAGTCCATTTCCATGATAAATGAAAATAATTGATAGGCTATTTGCTACTTAAAAAGAAAAGATGCTGATGGGTGCCGGTGGTTCATGCCTGTAATCCTAGATAGTCAGGAGGCTGAGATCTGAGGATCGCCGGTTCATGCCTGTAATCCTAGATAGTCAGGAGGCTGAGATCTGAGGATCGCCCGCCATTCAAAGCTAGCTGAGGCAAGAAAGTCTGTGAGACTTTTTTTTTTTTTTTGGTCGGTCATGGGGTTTGAACTCTGGGCCTGGGCGCTGTCCCTCAGCTCTTCAGCTCAAGGTGAGCGCTCTACCACTTGAGCTACAGCGCCACTTCCGGGTTTCTGGTGGTTTATTGGAGATAGGAGTCTCACGGTCTCTCCTGCCCAGGCTGGCTTTGAACCGCGATCCTCAGATCTCAGCCTCCTTAGTAGCTAGGATTACAGGCGTGAGCCACCAGCGCCTGGCTTCTGTGAGACTCTTAACTCCAATAAACCACCAGAAAATCAGAAGTGGCTCTGATGCTCAAGTGGTAGAGCACTTACTTTGAGCTGAAGAACTGAGGGAACAGTGCCCAGGCCCAGAGTTCAAGCCCCATGACCGACAAAAAGAGAAAAGAAAAGAAAAGAAAAGGTGCCAATTGGAGTTATTGCCAAGCAGGAAGAAGCAGTAATGAATAAATCCCAAACTTTTTATTATCACACACACCCTCAGACCCAATCTTTGTCCTCATATCCATACACTGGTATAAAACTTGTCTCATTCTCTTCAGCTCATTATTTATTAAACAGCACCTATCACACTGTCTGAAGAAAGAAGTGGACCCTGCACTTGGCACTGTGCCTTGGGAGAATGTCAAAATAAACAGTACATAATCCGTGTCCTGAACCCTAGCTTCAGGACACAGGGTTGAGCTATAAAGCTAACAGAGCACTTGCTAAAATAAGGCTTATCTCTTTAAAAAAAAAAAAAAAAGAAAGGATGCCAGTATAATTCTGTAGAATTCAAAGAAAGAAGAGTCTTATAGAGTATGGAACACATTAGAATTAACTGAAGGAGAAAGAATAGAAGGGGGAGGTAAGATATGGAGGGGCAAAAGCCATGAGAGGGGCTGGGAATGTGGCTTAGTGGTAGAGTGCTTGGCTAGCATGCATGAAGCCCTGGGTTCGATTCTTCAGTACTACATACTCAGGGGAAAAAAAGTGAATAAATGAAAGAAATACAATTAAAAGAGAAAAAGTTATTTTAAAAAAGAAAGAAAAGAAAAAAACCATGAGAGGATCCAAGGTGAGGAGGAAATAAGTCTCCTTGGGACTACCTGGAGGTTCATTTGTTTGGTCTTGAAGTTATACGTAAAGGAACTGTAGAAGATAAAGGCTTTAGTAAAGATACTTTAGTAGAGACCATGTTTAGAGTCTTTAAATGCCAGGAATTAGGACTCTTCATTGCATAACTTGTCATATGTAGAGTTTGGTGATAATCGCTCACATTAATTGCATCTCCTTATATGCCAAGGCACTAGATTAAGTGTCTTTACATATTCTCCTTTACATTCTTAAAAGAGCCCTGTGAAGTCCAGTTTTCATTATTAGCCCCGTTTTATAGATTAGGAGATGAAAGCCTAGAGAGATTAAGTAACTTGCCAAAGGCCACACGGTCATAGCTATGATTTTTATCTCAGGAGGTCTGACTCTATAGTTCCCCTACTTGAGTTAGAAAACAACAACATAAGAGCAATAATTTGGAAGAAGTAACAGTAGGACTTAAGAAGTTAGGGAATAACTGCAAGAATGGGTCTGTGTGACTTAGAAAAAGTATATGGGATGAAGGCCAAAGGAAAGTGTTGACTGGAAGGGTAGAAGGGCCACTTATAGAAACGAGGAAATGAAGAAGAGAACTGGTTATGTAGAAAATCCCTGACGGGCTTGTGTAACACAAGTTGAGTAGATATAGAACATCCAGAGGGAGATGTCCAGAGGCCAAGGAGAATGTTGCCTTGGAGCTCAGAGGAGCATTACACATTAAGTGGTCAACAGTAGTATTCCCATCTGAGTCCTTTCGAATGGAGTGTAGATCTCCAGGGTTCCATACAGATGACAACTTCCCATACCTTGTTTGGTAGATTTATTATTTTTGTGACTAGTGATTACTATGAAGTACTAGAGGTTTATTTTAATTAATTCCTCATGAATTGCTCTGGAAGACTGATATTCAACAAACATGGTTGTGTTTATCAGGAAGCATGACCATCCCTTTGATCATTGGACTTGTTTACTGTTGTCCTGTAGCCATGTTAATGTGGATGGTGAAAGTAAAACAGCCCACCGTTTAAAATGCAAACCCAGTCAAGTACAGTGGCTCAAGCATGTAATATTAGCTACTTAGGAAGCAGAATTCGAGAGTGGATACCATCTCAACCAATGATATAGCACAGTAGCCCAAACTTGTTTTTCCAGCTTTTGGGGAAAAAGGATGGCTGAATGTGGTGGTGCTTGCCTGTTATCCCTGATGGTAGGAGGAAGCACAAATAGGAAGATCAAATCCCAGGCTTACCCAGACATAAACTGATACCCTGATTTAAAATAACCAGTGCAGAAGGAGGTGTGGCTCAAATGGTAGAGCACTTGCCTAGCTAGTACAAAGCCCAGAGTTCAATCCCTAGTCATCCTCTACCGCCCCCCCCCAAAAAAAAATTTCCCCACTTGTTAAATGTTAAATTTCTCTAATTCCAACCGTGTGTGTGTGTGTGTGTGTGTGTGTGTGTGTGTGTGTGTGTGTGTGTGTGTGTGTGTGTGTAAGTTAAAAAACCATTCTCACTGCCTGGGCAGAACACACCTTTTCCTTTTGAATAATAACTTGCAATTCTGTCTCCTCAGTAGAAAAGAATATAACAAACTGCCATGCTATAACTTGCCCTACATCTCAATCCAAGAAGGTGTCTTAGCATCTTCCTTTAGCTTCTCCCTGCATGTCCCCACCCCTTAGAATTAACTCTTGCCTAGTTGTAATGATGTGAGCACCATCATCTGAAAATAAGCAGAAGAACAGCTTACTAGTGGATTCCCGGAAAGTGATGATGAGAAGATACTGTATGCCCTTTTAAATCTTGCCCTTTCTCCTTTCTTCCCTTCTATATCAAGTTTGGATCGCCATATGCAGACCCACCACGGACACCATAAACCATTCCGCTGCAAACTCTGCTCCTTCAAGTCCTCCTACAATAGCCGGCTGAAAACGCACATACTCAAAGCTCATGCTGGTGAGTTCATATGGGTGGATCACTTGAGTGTGCTCACGAGATTTGAAAAGTCTTTTGTTGCACACATGAGCGTAAGTTATTCTTTGAAGTGGTTGCAGGTTCTGCTTTACTTTTATCTAATAAAGAAAACTAGAAAAATAAAGCTTATTTGAAGCCAAAAGAATCAACTCTTCCATCAGGTAAGAATTAGAGTCATTTTTTTTTTTTGTAGTTGTTGTCAGTTGGTTGGTTGATTGGTTTTTGTTTATTGGTTTGCTTTTTTGTTTTCATTTTTGTTTTTGCAGGTCCTGGGTCTTGAACTTAGGACTTGGGTGCTGCCACTGAGCTTTTGTGATCAAGACTACCACTCTACTGTTTGAGCTGCAGCTCTACTTCTTTTGAGTGATTAGCTGGAGATAAGAGTCTCATGGACTTTCTTGCCTGGGCTGGCTTTGATCTGAGATTCTCAGATCTCAGCCTTTTGAATATCTGGGAGTACAGGCGTGTGCCACCAGTGCCCAGCTTGGTAGTTTTTAACTTTGGAATAACCTAGTCTTGCTAATGGAATTGCATAGAATTTTTTGTTATTGTTGTTTTTGTTTTGTTTTGTTTTTTGTTTTTTGGGGTTTTTTTTGGGTCCGGTTGTGGGGCCTGAACTCTGGGCCTGGGCGCTGTCCCTCAGCTCTACAGCTCAAGGCTAGCACTCTACCACTTGAGCAACAGCGCCACTTCCGGCTTTTTTCATTTTGCTTATGTGGTGCTGGGAATCAAACCCAGGGCCTCAGGCATGCAAGGCAAGCGCTCTACCACTGAGCCATCTTCCCAGCCCCCTGCATAGAATTTTTATGCACACTAAAGATAAATTTACCACATTATGAGATGCCCTTTGATTAGTCATTTCCTTTTGCTTGAGTCAGGATCGACCAGGAGCTGTGCTGGTTTCTGTCACTCCTTACTTACTAGGCCGTGTACCCCCATGTTAGAGATACCCTATTTAGTCCTCATGATATTCTTAAGTCTCCTTCAGGGTCACTTTTTACTGAACCTGTGTAACACTTTATAACACTTTTAATGATGGAAACAACTATCTAGAACCTGGGTCCTTCACTGGGTCCTTCTCAGCGTTGGGCCTTTGAAACTAGCTTATTTTAGGGAAACTACAAAAGTTTGTCTAGGTGTCCCAAGCCTCCCTGGGGATACCAGGTGGGACAGGGAGATTAATTAATGGGCTTGTCTATCTGTTAGTCATATTATGTTTTCAGGAAATGTCTCCTAACATCCACAGAGTAAGGGGCTTAAGAGTTCAACTCACTCTTTTCTGATGTCTGGGTATTGTAAATTATCCAGTGGAGACAATCTTGGTGAGTTTTTCCTACAGGTCTCAGCCTTGTTAAAAGTCCTCTGCCAGCTGGGAGCTGGGGGAATGATTCAGCTCGTGGGAAGGACTTTGAAGTAGCTGCCCATGGGTTCCAGGGCACACACTGAAATGTATGTTCTTGGAGCTGACCGAGTGAACTGGCCTCCCTGTGCTCATTGCTTGTCAAGAAGGAAGCATCCAGAAAGAGAAGGAGAGCTGTGTAATTCTGCTCTTATCACACCTTAGATGCTTAGCCTCTATGAAGAGGCTCTGAGCCACTGAGAGAAGGTTGGCTGAGGAAAGCTAATGCATTTTCTAAAAGTCTCTGAATTTATTTTGCGTGTTCTAAGTGGATTACTTTATTGAGGAGTAAGCAGTAGTGTGGACCAAACAAGTAATCCAGAATTGAATTCTTTCTCAAATTGTGGGACTTTATAGCCATCCATCAAAGTTCCTGCAACTAAATATTTTCTTTCCTAGGACTTCTGACCTCTTTGTACTTTTTTTCTGTGCTGCATAATGTTGAGGAATTTGAGGGTTTTACAAATCTGTAGTCTAAATGTAATAATAATTATTTTCAAAATACGTGTTTATTACAGAAAATTTAAAATAAAAGAAATATATGTCATCCAGAACCTTATTATCTAAAGAGCACTGTTAACATTTGGTGTTTCCTTTTGGCCATTTTGATGTTAATTATTTTGAAGAGTTGTGATTATAGTGTCATCTAAAATATCCTTTGCCTTTCTATGTATTCTCTTATTATTGTCTGTGTTATTACAAATTTTTCAAGAATTTATTTTAATGATAGTTCACCAGGAGGATATGTTCACATTATTTCTTTGTGCTTGAAATTTTGCTTAATACCTTTATCAAAGCATAAATAATGATATTTATGCCCAGTACTGGTAGCTCCCACCTGTAATTCTTGCTTCTCATTAGCCTGAGATCTGAGAATTGTGGTTCGAAGCCAGCCCTGACAAAAGAGTCGATGAGACTCTTATTTCCAGCTAACCACCAAAAAAAGCCAGAAGTGTGTCTGTGGCTCAAGTGGTGGAGTATCAGCCTTGAGTAATAAAGCTCAGGGACAGAGCCCAGGCCCTGAGTTCAAGTCCCTAGACAGGCACCAAATTTTTTTTTAATATACATATATATATATATATATGAATAAAGTTTTCTACGTGTTAAAAGATACTTTTCTAATAGTGACTTTCAGAAGTAGGACAATTAGATTGTAGGCCAAATTGCTTGTTGTTACCAAATGTAAAATTATTTCTGAATTGATTAATCTAGTATATATGCCCACTTCATACCCACTTCACACCCTGTATCCTTAAAGTATGATTAACTCAGAAGTTGATTTTATGGGCTGGGAATGTACCTTAGTGTTGAGGTGCTTGCCTAGCATGCATGAAGCTCTGGGTTTGATTCCCCAGTACCTCATAAACAGAAAAAGCCATAAGTGACATGGTGGCTCAAGTGTTAGCCTTGAGCAAAAGCAGCTCAGGAACAGTGCCCAGGCCATGAGTTCAAGCCCCAGGACTGGCAGAAAAGAAAAAGAAAAGATGATTTTATGACAAAGGTAAATCACTCATTTTAATTTGGTTTTGGTAAGTTATGCTGTATTTCAGCTCAAATATACTTTTTATTGAAGAATATTAGAGATAGGCACAACTGATTCCCTCCTCTTCTATGTTTGCATGTGAAATTCTCTTCTTAAAAAAAAAAAAATGAATCATTAGCTGGATGCCAGTGGCTCACGCCTATAATCCTAGCTACTCAGGAGGCTGAGGTCTGAGGATCGCTGTTGGAATCTAGCCCAGGCAGAAAAGTCCCTGTGAGACTCTTATCTCCAATAAATTTTAAAAACCTGAAGTGGCACTGTGACTCAAGTGGTAGAGTGCTAGCCTTGAGTACAAAGAGGCTCAGGGAGAATGTCCAGGCCATGAGTTCAAGCCCCAGGACTGGCCAAAAAAAAAAAAAAAAAAAAAAATTATTATTTTTTTTGATTCAGAATTTTTTTGGACGGTTTTTATTGTAAAAATGCTGTACAGTGGGGTTACAGTTGCATGAGCAAGGTGATGAGTACATTTCCTATTGAGCATTGTTACCTCCTCCTTTGAGGAAAAAAAAAAGAATTATTTGGAAGTGGTGTTGTGGCTCAAAGTGGTAGAGTGCTAGCCTTGAGCAAAAAAAGCTCACAGACAGTGCCCAGGCCCTGAGTTCAAGCCCCACGAGATATCTCTCTCTATATAGTTATATAGAGAGAGATATATGGATATATAACTATAGAGAGAGGTATATCTAGATATATCTAGATATATCAATATATCTCTCTCTATAGTTATATTTTATACCCGGTTTTGTACTGTTGAAAGGAAAGTAAGAGTCTGGGATGAAGAGGTATGTAGATAGCCTGGAAGTAAAGATTAAGAATTGCAGACTGAAACTTCCAAAGAGGAATTATGTGCTTGGAAAGGCCATTCATAGCTATTAGATTAGGAATTAGGCATATCATTATGTGTTTATGAAACGTGGCAGAATCATCTCTAGTGTGAAAAAAGAGGAAGACTGGGATTCCTTTCTAAGGAAGGTAACAGACAATCAGTGAGAATGGTCTGCAAATCTTACCTCTGTCCATAGAACATGAGATGAACAGGGATCAGGTTGACTTGATTACGAAGTTTCTTCCCCAGGAAGCCCCTGGTTATGGGAATGGGCCAGTGATTGTCCTGTGAGGGTTCCTAGACCACAAAGCTTGAGAACCGCTTTTCTAGATGGCATTAACTGTATTGTTTTCCACTTGTGCTTTCTCCCCTCCTTGTTCTGTCCCTGTCACCATCTCCTTCCAGGTGAACATGCCTACAAGTGTTCTTGGTGCTCATTCTCTACCATGACCATCAGCCAGTTGAAGGAACATTCCCTCAAAGTCCACGGAAAATCCCTGACCCTCCCCCGGCCACGGATTGTCAGTCTCCTCTCCTCACATGCCCACCACTCCTCACAAAAGACTACCCCAGCTGAAGAAGTAGAAGACTCCAATGGTAAGAACAGGCTTCCACGCCAGAATTAATTATTTAGAATTGAGGTGGACCTGAAGGAATTTCCCACAGGGAAATCTTAAATGGAAAGAGGATGGCTTAAGTGAAGGAAGAACTGTGGGGTAACCTAGATATTAGAGCTGGGGGAGGAATTTGAGCTCTGAGCAAGTAAGTAGAGTCCTGGTAGAAACATCTCTGGGTACCATGTTAGCATTGCCTGTGGAGGGAGCATGCTGGGTAGGTATGTCTGTCTGGATTCTTCTATGGTGGGTTTGAGCAAAGCAATATCTGGCAGATTTCTATTTGTGTTTTTTTTTTAACTTTATATCCTGTTTTATTGTGAACGTTGTGTTCTGTGAGCCATTTGGGCTGCTGGATATTAAGTTAACTACACAGAACTCAGAGTAGGAAGAGCATGGATGGATTGAGTGGAAACTGCCTGTCTGGGCAGGTCATATGATATTGTGGTACAGACTTAAAAATAGTACAGTGATTTCTTATAACTGATGGGTGTTGAGAAAGTGTTGTTTGGGAAGTAATCAATTTGCGAACTTCAGAAGAAACATAGGAATGTTTTCCATGGACAACAGGATCAAAGTTTGTTGGGGAGAAAAAGAGAGTAGAGTCTCGGAGCTTCAGGCAATGGCATAGTGAATGAAGGGAAAGTTTATTGTTTACTGTCTTCATCAACCTGGAAAAGAGACCACCTCAGGTCACCCCGAATAGTTCCAGAACCAGATGCTTTGAAGAGAAGTGAGAGAAGGCTGTGGATCTTGGCAGTGTAGAATTTGGAGTTGTTCTTCTTTGTGTCATCCTTCAATCCCTCTTGGCAGTATCTCAGAGCTGTTGGCTTGAATATTCCAGCAAAAGGGCTATTTCCCAAGCTGTCTGCTCTTCCATTCTTGGTAGGAGCTTGGTGGACCAGAAGGAACGTGGCTCTAAGACCTGGATATTTGAATCTTACTTCTCTCAGTGCTAGTTGTCTTTCCCATCGCAGTTGTATTTCCCTATAACTATATGTAACGTTGGGTAGTGATATCCTCTGATGGTTGTCTTGGGAGATTAATGAGCAAAGGTGTACACAGGAAATATCTAGTATGACATTGGGCACATCGAAGGTACTTAATGGATGGTCAATTTATTTTTGTATTCATGTTTGGTTGCAAATGTGGTTTAGGGGATTGTTTATAACAAGTTTGAATTTGGTGGGTTTTTTTGTTTTAAGTATGTGGGTTTATACAAGAGACTTGAACTTTGTGGCCCAACTTGTTGACTTGGTCTAATTTATGTATTATCTAAACAGCAAATAAGGGTTTTTGTTTTGTTTTATTTTTCTTCATGAGGTTTGTGTATAGGAGGGAGTGGAAAGGTAACTCCTGAGGCAAAAAAAAAAGAAAGTCTTTCTTGAGTTCGATTTTGCAAACTATTAAACATTGTGTTAAATACTCTAACCCCTTACTGGTATCCTGCCTCAAAGGACTTCTGTTTCATAGAGAAAACTGTGCTTATGATCTCCTTAACTGTTGAGTAATAGTTTGAAATGCAGCAGGAAGTCTGTGGTGTTTGCTTTTCTTCCAGAAAAACTTGAAGAATCTCAGACGTAGGGTTTGGTGAAAATATATGTGAGCCAGTAGAGAAAATGCTCCTTTTCTACCTTGAGATGCTATTCATTGGGAGAAAAAAATAGTACATTGCAACCAGAGGGCAAGATCCCAGCCTAAATTGAAGGGTTCCCTAAGGATTTTGTGCTTGTTTATTTGTGTGCATGCACCAGTACTTGGGCTTGAACCCTGGACCTTATGCTCTTGCTTGGCTTTTTTGCTCAAGGCTCTGGCCTTTTGATGGTTAATTGGATATAGGAGTCTCCTGGACTTCTTGGTCTAGGCTGGCTTTGAACCATGATCCTTAAAACTCCTGAGGATGATAGGGCTAAGCTACCAGCTCCTGGCTAAGACCTAATAAATATTAATTAATTGTTTTCTGCTGACTGGAAGCTATACCTGTAGAGCCTGTTAAATGAAATGGATCCATCCAGTCACCATTCCTAGGAAGTAGTTTTCCTAGAGCATTTTTTCTTGTGTCCTTTTGCCTTTCTCCTTGTCACAGGACAACAGAATTTAATAGACTTCCTACTACCTGGATCATCTTCCTCAGTATAGGCTAAGAAAAGTTGAGTACCATCACTTGGCCCTCCAACAGCTTAACCTTTTTAGGGAGTAGTTTTCAACTCTTAGAAGCTGGACTAGGGAGAAGGTGAGTGCTGCAGAAACATGACACTTGATATTGACTAACCCTGTCTAACACAGACAGCCTTTTGACTCAGCCACTGGCAGATCGTATCCTATATGTAAAAGTGTAATTTTATTTTCCTTCTTGGTGGGAAAGAATGTTATGAGAGCGCTGGGTGGCAACCATCTAGTGAGGTCTCCACAGAAGTCATTGAACCCGAGCTGCTTGTAATGCACGTAATAACCCATATCAAAGGAGCAGCCATGATTAGTTTTAACTTGATGACAAAAAGTTGATTAGAAGGTGGCCTGAACAGAAAGGAGGCATGGAATAGGCTGTTCTCATGAGGGAGTAATTATGTGGAAAGAATAATTAATAGTTTATTTGTTCAGTAAGTATTTCCTTGAAGTCTAACTCTAGGTTTTGCATCATTTTGAACAGCCAGGAATAACCAAGGGGCCCACAGTAGGAAGACTCCCATTCAGGGAGCTGGATGGTGGATTCCTAGAAACAGCTCAGTCTGGAGGATGGAAAAACAGCTGTGGGGCTAGACAGTAGCCTGTAAATCATGCTCTGAATGGTGTTTGAAACACACATGTGAAATCCAATTGCACATTTTAATAGGGAGAAGCTGTTGGGGCTATTGGCTCTCAGTTAAGGTTTCCCACAATGCAGATGCCAGGACACTGTGAACACACGACCCAAAAATGTGTTGCAGGCCTGGGGGGAGTTGAGATCCATAAACCCAGGGAAATCAACAGTGTGTCCTTGGCTTGCTGAATCCCTAGTGAGAGATGTGAATAAAATGAGTCAGCATGCTCACTGCTCTTTGCAATGGTCAAATGCTTGCAGGCTTGAGAAGAAGCCAGCCCTCTCTGGCAGAAGGAAGCAGCCCAGATGGGAGGTTCTTCTTAAGCTGTTCTCCGCCCAATGCAGAGGGAAGCACTGTAAGGAAGGCTAGTGGAGAAAGCAGAAATAGGAGGCGCAGGGCAGATTCTCACCCCAGCAGCCTGGCCATACACCTGTTCTGGGCTTCAGCAGAGCTTCTGGGCTCAGAGGTGTCAGTCTTGACAGATTTCGCCAGCACATGGGGTCCTCTGTATATTCTTCATGATGGGCTGATGGAAAGAAAAGCAACAGTTGTATGGTGTTGGTTTTGTGTACTGGGTAAATGACACGTAATTGCTATTCAAAACAATGCGTTGAAAGGGCACAATCAGTTGTCAACAAAGGGAAGTGGAAGCGCTCTGTTCATCTGTTTGTGTTTACAGCGTTCCTTCTCATGCCATAGAAGATACAGGACTGGCTTTGATCAGGTTGTGTATGTGTCTTTGTACAGGAAACTAACACATACGCGCACAACAGTAAATTAACACAAGAAACTAGGACAGCATAGTCTAGCTATGAGATTTGTTCAGGTCTGAGAAGGTACACAAAGCATGTGCAACGGATAGGTAATCTAAAATTCAGTCATGCTTTATAAGAAGGCAAACGAATGGTGACATTCCATCTTTTTCCTCCCTTGTATTTCCCCTGATGAGAGAAAAAATTACTTTATCTTCAGTTATGTCACCAGGAATTATCTGCTTTAAGAAATAGCTATTTTGATACATTAAAGCAAAGGCAAAAAGTAGATACTAAGATTGGGCGCAAACTGAATGTGATGAATGTTTTATAGCAACATAGGTCATGCATACATGCCCTAATTTGTAACAGACAAACCATAAGGAACTCTTATTTATGTACCCATCTCACTGCAATCTGGGTATCTATAGACTCTACCCAACAGAGAAGTCATTGCTGTTATGAAATGATAACCACAAAATGTTTCGAGATGCTTTATGGTTTTCTGTTAAAACGTGTCACTTGCCTTTTCTATCCCAAACTCTAGAATATTTGATCAACAGTTTTTTTTTTTTTTAAATTAAGGCACTTCTTTTTCTTTAAATCTTAATTACCTTTAAGTAGTTGTATAAAGGGGTTTCATTCAACATGTTCACAGATGAGTACAATGCATGTTGATCTTCCATCCTTTGCCTCTCCCTCTAAATGGGCCCTGAACATCCGCAAATCAAAGTGTTCTACATTACACTCACAGATGACCATGTACTTGCTCTTTTTCCCACTGCAGAGTGGTGTAACAACTGATATGCTCCCATCTGTTTTCTTGCTACTTTCAAGTTCTAGCTTCTTCAGCTTGTTTCTCTAGTTCTGCTGGGAGTTTAGAAGGATTTCCTCCCTGTCTGCTTCTTTCTCTACAAATTTACAACTTTTACTCCCTTCTAAGATTGGTTTTTACTGTGTTTATCCTCACTCAGGTGACTCTATCACTCTTAAGGCTCTATTTGTATTTGTAACTAGATTGTTGGTTCTGCCCTTAGTTTTCCAGTAGGGACAGTTAAGTAGGTACTTAGTAAATACTGTGCTCTTTTGACTAAAGCACCCTAACTTTCAACTCAGTTCACTGCTCCCAGTCCACTCTACAGAACCAAATTATCCAAGATATATATTCATTTCACTTTCATTTAAGGGACAAGATTCTAGGCTAGTGGAATAGCTCAAGTGGTACTGAGTCTACATAGCTGTGTGAGGCCCTGAGTTCAAACCCTGGTACTAAAGAGCGGGGGAAAAAAAGACAAAAATCTGAAGAGAAAACTTTAGGAGCTGTTCTCAGTGAAACTTTCTGATGCAATTATTTTGTCAAGATGAAAGATCCTTCTTCACATAGAGTATTTTAAATGTTGTCATTTTTCTCTATGTGAAAAGCTGTCTAT